CGATAGTCTCCAGCTCGAAAAACAACATCTAGCTTGGTGCTTCGACGATAATAAATCGGCTCCATTTGACAAACACTCTCCATCAGATCCTCCTCAGAGAAGTTGTACTTCGTATGGTCGTGATGAGGAGCCCTCTGACGGAAATACATGTGCTGCACCTTGAAGGAGCTGATTTTGTCGAGGCGGATGTCGTCGTGGTAGAGACCAACCTTGCCGTAGCCGTGGATTTGGTTGGAAAGTTTCATGAGCGGGCTCATCCTTTCCGTCAGGTGATAAGCTTCATGGAAATTCATGAAGTCAGGAGTATCGGCAAGGCCTTCTTTCTCCTTCTCACCCGCGTACTGCTCAAAAGCTTGCTCATTCTTTTCCTCCGCATCGGCTGTGGCCTTGGCCTCTGCCTCGTAAGCCCCAGGCTCCACGCGTGTCTTTGTCTTCCCCCAGATGCCCTGTTCATAGAGGTTGTCGTGATTGTTGGAGGCTTCTGCGGAGAAGTTCATATCAGGCATGGGTACCTCTCCAGAGGGAGAGCTTCCCGGTTCGTGGTCGCCTGACTCACTGGCTTCTTCCATGCGCACATCATCTGGAGCTGCCGTAGGCGGGAACCAAGTACGTTCAGGCTCCTCGACCTTTACACCAGATACCTCTCCAGAGGGAGAGCCTTCTGGTGCGTTGGTCTCCATTGGTGCACCGGAATCAGACTCTTGTTTTGCCTCACCAGCCATCTCTCCAGAGGGAGAGTCCGCTGGTGCAGCTTCAGCAGAGCCGCCAGCTTGTTCCATGGGCTCGTCCACTTCCGCGATGGTAGGTCCAGGGAGATTAGAGATAAACTCCTCCACGACGATGTCATCGAAAGGTCGTGTGTAGAGCTCATCAATCTCGCGAGCACGCTGGGCACGAAGGTTCTCATACGAAATAAAAGATCCGCGTGAGCTTTCTTCGCGAAGGAGGAGGGCGCACCCATCGTTCGAAACTGCTTGTCCAGCGCTGCAAGGACCAGTGACGCATTCCAAGGCTCCTTGAGTGAGGAATCGTACAAAGTGTAGCCCTCAGGAGTTTTGATCTTGTATTTGCGTCGGACCTCGAGGTTCTTCCAATGTTTCTGGACGTAGCTGAAGAAATCTTGCCCGTAGGCCTGGGAAACTGCAGAGACCACCGTGGAGAAGCCCGTACGAACTGCCTTATAATCTCAGACCACACATCCCTTTCCGAGCAGAAAGCATTGTGTAGCATGAGTTTGGCAGCGTAGTCCGGGTCATCCTGCTTAGGCTTCTTGCTCCTGGGATCAGTGTCCTCAGGGATTCTGAAACCAACATCAGAACAAGTCGGAGCGAACTCACGGTGCTCGGCATGCTGGAGATCATTCAAGAGAGTGGAAGGATCATTCCCTTCTCCCTTGTCGAAGGGGGATTTATAGCCCTGAGTGTAGGCCTTCCCCTTATAGCTGAGCTCCAAAAGCATATTGCCCTGCATCTTTCCCTGCTCGAAGGCTTTGAGGAAGAAATGGAC